CTAGGAACAAATATTAGATTTTTCCTCTTGTTTTTCATCAGTTAATTTTATGTTTAGGTTATTTTATGAAAACTCTCCGTATAGGTTTACAGCCTGCCTTGCTGTTATCCTATGTTGCCCTTTGTACAGTGATGCAAGGTGGAAGGCTATATCAAACGTAGATAACACAGTTGTTGAATTTGCCAGCTCTATTTCGTCAGTTTTACCCCCTTCTTCCTCTTTCTAGGTGGTGACAGCGGACCACGCCCAGCTCATGGTGCCTCTTATCCTGGAGAAGAACCTGTGGTCGTCCGTCCCCGGGGAGGACACCATCATGAACGTCCCAGGTTTCTGGCTTGTCCGCAGGGAGAATTTGGAATATTTCCCGCGGAACAGCAGCTACTGGGACCGCTGCATGGTCGGAGGTTACCTCTCCCCTAAATCAGTCCTCGAGGTCTTTGACAAGCTTGTGGCTGGCTCCATCAACTGGCCAGCTATAGGGAGTGTCCTCGATTACGTCATCCGTCCTGTGGTTCCTTCAGAAACACTGACCCTTGAGGTGCAGTACGAGACGGACCGGAAGCTGTACGTGGACTTCCTGCCGTTACTTGTGATGGAGGATGGAACCTCACTGATCGCCAAACCTCATCGACTTGCCGCAGAGCGCCATGAAAACCTGTGGCGGCAGAGCTTCCGCGTGGCTGAGACGGCGCGACTCAGGGCCCTGGACCAGGAGGATGGAGGCTGCCGATGCGCTTGCCTGAAGTTGGCGAAGGCCGTGTGCAAGCTCAACCCCGCCCTCAACCGGCTTAATGCCAGCCAGCTCACCAACGCCATCTTGTTGCTGTGCGAAAAAGAAGGTGACTGGACCCAGGAAGCGCTGGCCGACCGCTTCCTTCAACTGCTACGAGCGCTAGTGGGACACCTAGAGGCCGGGAGGCTGCCATGTGCCCTTAGCCCTAAAGTTAACTTATTCTGTGAGCTGACTGATCAAGAAGTGGACGAGCTGGGGTATACTCTCTACTGCGCCCTCTCAGATCCTGAAGGGCTGCTGAGAACTGCTGTGGCACAGCCCCTCCATCCCTGACGACCTCATATATCACTTCTCAGCAACACAGCGTTCAAGTGTCCACCGCTGTTTTGTGGGCAACTGTGACCTCGAGCCTCAGAAAGGTTCTTGGGGAAAATACAAGTGCATGGAATCATCGTCTCTCCTGAAACACATGGTCTATTCATTCTTAAACGCCACTTTACAAATCAGTGAGAACATGTGATACACACAGTAGCAGTTACTGAGCTCAGATCTGTTTGAGTCTTGACATGAAAGCTGCATATGTGGTGTGATCATGCAGATACTATTTTAATCTCAGATGTAAGTGAAGGCCCATTGGATTTCATGGCTCTCACTACAGCCATTGTATTAATGAAGTTTAGCGTAGACTGGCTGTTAGTGCCTGATACATTGGAATGGAGGTTGATCAAAATGAAAGGGGAACATGTAATCTGAGACACAGTATGTACCTCTGATTATATTGCAGCTCTTTTTAACTGATCGAGAAGTTTTAGGAGGACAGACATGTCCCATGCAGTTAAATGTCGTTTACTGTTTTGAGATAGGCCCGTGCCTCTGTGTTAAGGGATAGAATGTGTTGATTGTGTGTATGACAACCCAAAAGCTAATAAATCGTTGATCAGCCTGAAGGACTCAACATTCTTGAGTGAAAGAGACACGCTAGCTGTCATTTCATCCTCCTTTTTTTTTTTTTTTTTTTT